ATGGGAATGGCATATTCTTTGACTTTTGTAAAGAGCATTAATAATATCTTCAGACATTTCAAATTGAAAAAATAAAAAATAAAAAAATAGCACCGTGAGCCTGAGGGTGGAAAGCATATTATAGCAACGTGAGTTTATCACGGATTTTGATAATTTGGATCATTCAATATTTAAAATTCATCAATTACTTTATTTTTATAATTATGTTGATCAGATATTGATAATCACTTGATCAGATTATATTTGTATCAATAATTTATTTTTAAAATCATATTTACCAGTGACACAAATGTGATTTGATCAATATAATTTTTTATAAAGATAAAATATTTGACAAGTCCTACATATGGAACAGTTTAAATTATTAATGTGAGTTCCGTGATGGATCTACGAAAATCCAACAGTACCCTCTAATTTTATGTGGATTGGGGAGAAGTCATCCTCTCTATGGATAGCTTTATGGTTAAAATATAGTCAATAGTAGGGGTGTTCGTGGTTCGATTGCGGTCAAAGAATCTCTAATTTGTCATCTGTCCGCCGGGTTGGTAGATTAGAAAAAATCAATCCGGATTCGTTCGTTGGATTAGTGATTGCGGATTGATACGAATCGGTTTGGCGATTTAAACTTTTACAAATTTTGAATATAATACAACAATTTGTCAATATATATTTTTTGTTAGATAACAATCCAACTCAATATAATCAAAAGATCATCAAGTGAATTATCAAATATCAATAATAAATACATATAAAAAAAACCTTACATTATCAAAGTTATTTCATTACTTTTTTTTATTCAAAAACTATTTAATTTGATTTTTTTAAAAAAATGACAAAATTAAGTCTTATATTTTCCACACAAAAATATCAAATATCAACACTTGTCATTTGATAAAAGGATTTTTAAATAGAAAACAGATTGAAAACATTACAGAATATGTAAATTCTTTTTTAATTGAAAAAACAAACAAAATATCTAAACAAATTAAGAACACAAAATCTTATAAATTACTAGGGGTGCTAGCGGTTTGGTGGTTCGGTTACGGCTAAAGAAATCTCAAATCCGTCATCCGTTTAAAACTATGCAGATTAAAAAAAATCAATCCCCAGTTGTTTGCTCGTCATCACGCATCCATCCAAAATGCAGCAGATCAGATCGGTTCAGTTCAATCAATTTAAACAGATCAAAATATCTAATGAACATATTGAACAATTCAAATTGCCGAAATAAGTTCCGTGACAAGGATTGGGGAGAAGCCATCCTATCTGTGGATAGCTTTATGGTTAAAATATAGTCAATACATGAAAATAATTGAGCCTCTGTTTGGGAAGTGGGTTGGCTTTTTGGCTTTTTGGCTTTTTTAGCTATTTTAGCCTGGGCTTAAAAGCTTGGTTTGGGAAGGGCTTTTTGGCTGATCAATATAAATTTTTATAAGGATAAAGTATTTGACGAGTCCTACATATTAAACAGTTTAAATTATTAATGTGAGCTTCGTGACGGATCTACGGAAATCCAACAGTACCCTCTAATTTTATGTGGATTGGGGAGAAGCCATCCTCTCTATGGATAGCTTTATGGTTAAAATATAGTCAATAGTAGGGGTGTTCGTGGTTCGATTGCGGTTAAAGAATCTCTAATTTGTTATCTGTCCGCCGGGTTGGTAGATTAGAAAAAATCAATCCGGATCCGTTCGTTGGATTAGCGATTGCGGATTGATATGAATCGGTTTGGCGATTTAAACTTTTACAAATTTTGAATATAATACAACAATTTGTCAATATATATTTTTTGTTAGATAACAATCCAACTCAATATAATCAAAAGATCATCAAGTAAATTGTCAAATACCAATAATAAATACATATAAAAAAAACCTTGCATTATCAAAACTATTTTATTACTTTTTTTTATTCAAAAACTATTTAATTTGATTTTTTTAAAAAATGACAAAATTAAGTCTTATATTTTCTACACAAAAATATCAAATATTAACACTTGTCATTTGATAAAAGGATTTTTAAATAGAAAACAAATTGAAAACATTACAGAATATGTAAATTCTTTTTCAATTGAAAAAACAAACAAAATATTTAAATAAATTGAGAACACAAAATCTTATAAATTGCTAGGGGTGCTAGCAGTTTGGTGGTTCGGCTACGGCCAAAGAAATTGCAAATCCGTCATCTGTCTAAAACTATGCGATTAAAAAAAATCAATCTGCAGTTGTTCGCTCGTCATCACACATCCATCTAAAATGTGACAGATCAGATCGGTTCAGTTCAATCAATTTAAACAGATCAAAATATCTAATGAACATATTGAACAATTCAAATTGCTGAAATAAGTTGCGTGACAAGTCTACGGAAATCTAACAATAACCACTAATCTTATATGGATTGGGGAGAAGCCATCCTATCTGTAGATAGCTTTATGGTTAAAATATAGTCAATACATGAATATAATTGAATTTGAGTTGTGATAAAAATAAAAAAAATAAAGCCCAAATTTAGAGAGAGATGCTCAAAACAAAGATGCCCTATCTCTACCGACACTGAACGACTGTGGAAAGCATGTATCATGTCTGTCTATAGATTTTTTTTATCTTTATTTGGATAAATTGCATTTTTTTTAAAGTTAAAAAATAATACAGTTAATCTCACACCTTTGATATAATTACTAAGAGCATCTCCAACGGTGACTCAAATTTTTCACCAAATCTGAGTAAAAAATGACCCATTTCACCAAATTTGATATCACTCACTCCAACGTTCACCTTTCACCAAATCTATCCCGGGACAACCGGGTGGTCGACCGGCTGGTTGACCGGTTAGGTAAAAATTTTTTTTTTTTTTTTTTCGCAAATTGTCTGAACTTTTTTTTGAACTTTCTGAACTTTTTCGGGACGACCGGGGTGGTCGACCGGACTGGTCGGTCGACCGGCCGGTTGACCGGTTAGGCAAATTTATTATTATTTTTTTTTTTAACGGTTTGAACTTTTTTTCCTGAACTGTTTGAATCTTTTACTGGTTGACCGGTTGGTCAATCGGCCGGGCAACCGGCTGGTTGACCGGTGTACCTCTTTCAACGGTCAGTAACAGTGATTTGGTAAAATCTGTGTCGTTCTCAGTTTGATACTTTTTTTGCTGAAATCTCATTTTGATATCAATCTGGTGCAACGGTTGGAGCATAAAAAAGTGCCTTTTTCATCAAAATTTGAATTTGATACCAACTTTGATTCACCGTTGGAGATGGTCTAAGGCTAAATCAAATTTAAATGGTAGATATACACTAAAATAAATAAAAATAAATATATATTTTAATTAAAAATAGATGGCAATACAATTTTTTATTTATGCCATGTAAAGCTTTCTTAATTTTTTCTCCTCTTTTTTGTTTTGTTTTGTTTTGTTTTGTTGATGGTTTCGTAGTCAGTATTGCTTATTTTTGGTTTTCCAGAGATATGCCTCTGTACTAGTTTGTTATGTATTAGAACCTTAAAAAATATATAATGTAATTATGTTAATAGTGTGAAACTAATCATATTTTTTCTAAATTTCAGGAGAGATAAGTCTAATTTATTTATTTATTTCAACATCAACTTCCCAGTGTGAGGGAAAATTAATAATCTATTTGTTTGGGCGAAAACCATTTTCTGAAAAATATTTTTATATTTTTTGATGTTTAGTACAATAAAAAACGAAAATCACAAAAAAATATTTTTTATAGTCAACAAAAACAAGCGTATTTGGACAAAAAAATGTTTCCTAACTAAAATCTAACCAATGTCACCACACTACCACCACCACTCTCACCTCCACTACCACATGGCCACGCCACCATCGCCATCGCCATAGCCATTATCGCCCCAAATAGCGAAGACATCAAGGTAATAAAGTAACTCAATATAATCGGGTCATACTGGTGATACACTTTACTATATAATTAAGTAATACAACTAAGATTGATATTAGAGACAAATTGTTTTTTTAATTACTAAGTTAACAAATATTACAAACAATATTGTCAAAAGAGCTCAAAAACTAAACTACAATTTATACATTTAAGTTAACCACAGTTCCACATATTTATCAGGGTTGCCTTCGTTCTAGAAAATTCCTCGTCACCTAATATAAAACGCCATGAGTTTGAAATACCCAATAGAACATACACACACCTCTCACTGCAACATTTTCTTAATTTAGTGATACTTGAAAGTGCCACAAAACTATTCTTCTAATGACATTTTTTAATCTTGTGGCTTTTTAAACAAGTGCCATTTATACCCGTGCCACGATAGATACTAGTGGCACCTCAGTCACACTTGCAAGTGTCACTACTCCATCATGGCTAAAGAATTTTAATGACACTTTAATGTCATGATAAACACTATTTGTGATACTATCAAGTGCCATTCAAAAAAGATTTAGTAGCATTTCAGTGACACTTGTAAGTGTCATTACACCATCAAGGCTAAAGATTTTCAGTGACACTTTAATGTTATGATAAACACTACTCATGACGCTATCAAATGCCATTAAAGAAGACTTGCAATCTAAAAAATGTCACTATATGGATTTTTAATGACGCTTGTTATGCCACAATTGATATTTATAACAACTTCATAAATGCCACTAAATTCAATTCATTTGTGCCATTAAATGGATATAAGTGCCATTAGAACTTATTTCAGTGACACTTTGCAAAGCTACTATCACTACTACAAAATGCCACTTATATGTTCTTTTCATTGACACTTTTAAAAGCTACAACTAAGCATGTGTAAATACGTGTAAAAATTGAATCGATTTTATAAACAATTGAATATTAATTGCCACATCCTATATTATTTTGACATCCATTCATCCCGTAATATTTTCATAATAATAAACAAATATTACCACCATAGGATCATCACATCAAAAAATAAAAAATAAAAAAATCAATCAATCAAACCACAATCAATTATTTATTATTGAAATATAAATTTATTTATATTGCAATAAAAATCCCTTGTCAAAATTATAAAATATTCTAGCACACTAACAAAGTTAAAGCAAAAAACATTTAAAAGAAAATTATTCCAACCATAAATTCTAAAAAGCCATAATGATATCCATCTTCCGGATAGACAAATTATCAAAACAAAATTAGTTCCCAAATTCTCAACCTCACTTATATAAATATTCTGAGCTAGCATCCATAACTTGTGAAATCTGCATCCAAAAGATAAATTTATAAAGGTAATTGAAACTATATTAAGTTAATATAAATTTGTTAATGAAATTAGTATTTATGAAAGAAATATACCACAAATGGAGCAGGCCAAGCAACATGAGCTCCAATAGCTTGTCCAACTGTTTTGACAAGTCCATATTATTGGATTAAGCTCTCATTAGGTTTAACTGGAACTTGAACATGTACCTCCCAATAGTCAGGTCTTAGTTCTTCCCATTTTACTTTTTTAGATGCGCCTGTGCCTTTAAGTACTCCGATTGCAACTATTTCTGTTAGCCTAATGATACTTTTTAGATCAACTATATCTCCTACTTGTAAATCAAGATTTAACTACTTAAGTAATTATATAGTTACAATTAATAAATAATATTTAAAAAATAAACTAGTATAGAGTGCCAGAGTGAAGATGATTATAACTGAAAGTGATATGCATTTCTCTAGTAGATAAGTAAGCCAAATGATTTAATCACTTAATTGGTTCACCACACTACAACAAATTATATAAAAGTAACAACCGTAAATTTTTCGACCATATCAAACAATAGCTTAAAAAATCAATAACAACCAAAAGCACCAATCAACAACAATCAAAACCATGCCCATTATCAATATCAGGATCCCCTAACTTCAACAATGTAGATCAAATGTAATTGTGAAAAATGACAATCAACTAATTACTTTCAAGCAATATTTTGAGAGAATCAGAAAGAGCCCATGCGGTAATAAATAATGGAGAGATGTCTTGTTAAAGCTTCACAAGAAAATAAAAATAAAAAATTTAAAAAAAGCACAAGCTTCATCATGTCATGATTTTGACTTTGTAGCACATTTTGTTCAGATTTAAACAATGGAATTTAGGTCTGCAACATTCATTCCTTGGTTAATTGTAAGACAAGTTTTGCATACCATTATAAAATAAAGCTGGAAGTAATGTGATATTTATGATTAGCTCTTAGTAGGTACCTAAGTAAGAGAGGCATTTTGTATTGATGACAAGGGCCATGCTTGATGTCGAGCTGTCATGTCAAGAGGACTACAAGCTGTTGTGACCTAACCAAATTTGAAGTAATTAATTTTACAAACACACACACATAGATATATGTATGTATACATATGTGTAGGAAAACATTAATAAGTTATAAATTCTATTAAAAAAATTACCTGGTTAGATGTGTTTGTCAGGTTATTCGGAGCATGCTGAACATGGGAAACTTTAGACCTTAGCTCCGAATTTTCAGCTTCCATAGCATTCATTGTTGTGTCTTGGTTTTCTTTATGACCAGATGTATCTCTCCATAAATTGGACGGGGAGACACTTAATCCATACATGTGAACTCATCCATGTTTTTCTTTACACATCACTTGTCCAAATCATTTGATAAATTTGCATTTAAAGTTGTCCTCTCATTCATTTCATCCTATAAGGTTGCAATAAACATAACTTAACATATACATTTCAATCACTCAACACTATAATGTGGGAATTTTAACTAATCTACAAGTTCAAATGGGCAGATAATTATTTGGTACATACTATCATTGCTTTCATTGCCTCAGCGGTTCCAGTCTCCTTTGTATAACATACTTTAAACATGTGAGCACGTGTTGGAGAGTGTCCCAACTTATTCTCGAACAAAATAATATATTCCAAAATATAAATTATATCATTCTGTCACATCATGTATATATTATTATATTAAATATACAACATGAAAAGATTAATTAACCTGTTCCTTTCGAACACGTGAAAAACTTTGTGTTCCAGTAGTATGATTATACTTTCGCTCTGCACGACTTGCTTTGTTCTTATCACTTTGTGCCTAAAATTACAAATGCATAAATTAATGGTGTCCAAACTATAGCAAGTAAAAGAACATATAATGATCAGATCAAATATATCTTTAATCTACAAGTTCAAATGGGCAGATAATTATTTGGTACATACTATCATTGCTTTCATTGCCTCAGCGGTTCCAGTCTCCTTTGTATAACATACTTTAAACATGTGAGCACGTGTTGGAGAGTGTCCCAACTTATTCTTTTACAAAATAATATATTCCAAAATATAAATTATATCATTCTGTCACATCATGTATATATTATTATATTAAATATACAACATGAAAAGATTAATTAACCTGCTTCTTTCGAACAAGTGGGAAACTTTTTATTCCAGTAGTATGATTATACTTTCGCTCTGCACGACTTGCTTTGTTTTTATCACTTTGTGCCTAAAATTACAAATGCATAAATTAATGGTGCCCAAACTATAGCAAGTAAAAGAACATATAATGATCAGATCAAATATACCTTTACTTCTTCGATGACCCAATACTTAATAAGGTGTTCCCACTGATCAGCATATACTCTACTATCTTTATAATGCTTTTGTTGGTCAAAACTCAAGTGGTTTTTATAATAATTTTTCTTTATGTTTGTCTTCCAGTCTTTTAACTTTTTATTGGAGCACTTCATAACCCAAGTCCTAGCATGACTTGGAAGATCAAACTTTGACTGAAAAAAGAGAGAGAAAGAGCGAGAGAGAGAGAGAAAGAGAGAAGAATAAAATAATAGAAAATTAATCTTTCTACATACAAGATTAAAAATACAAAAAAATTATAAAGAGTGTTGTTTTAATCATATTACTCATGTTTACTATTTTTAACGTGTGATCTTTGCATAATATTATGTCATTTACCTGTATAAGTGCCCATATGTGATCTTTGTAATGTTTTGGGATTTTATGCCAATTCTTGTAAGTGAGTGGTGCATTTTTCCCACCACGCACAATAGTTCTAATGAATGATGATAACTTTGTTGCCAATTTGTCATCAGGTTGGCCAAGTTTGTTCCAATTGACTATTAGGTGCTCATTATCTCGAGTACCCCAAATATTACGCATTTGAGTGGGACCTCTAGTTTTCTTTTGTCTACTAGCATCATCTAGTTAAATAAATAAATAAATAAACAAATAAATAAATAATACTAATAAAGTATATATGAAGAAATAATGTGACATTTTTATAAGGTTTGAACTTGCATACCTACATCATTATTGGGCTGACTAGAGTTTGGCTGAATTTCAGATGGAGTTGGCTCACTAAACTCATCAACATTGCCTGAGCGAAACTGAAGATATGGGTCTATAGGCTTTTTGCTTTACAGATGAATCCTAGTATGATTCAAGCAAAATAGACAAGTCAAATTGTAAACTTAAAATGATCCAAATAAATTATTTGCAAATGAACAAAATACTTGAATAAAATTAACAAAGAAAAATTGTGTATTTACCTTTATTGTGTTGCTATCTTGATAGTAACTAAATGTAACATATAGTGAATAAATATTTTGTAGCCACATATGAAAATGACTTAGTCAAATAAAAAATGCGTTATTCATTCTTCAAACAATCAATTAAATTAACAAAAACAATGATAAAGAAAGAGAGGGAAAGGAAACTATAGAATTGCTTTCAAATATAAATAACTAGCAATATTCAACAAGTTTAACAGTCACATAAGATCTAATTCTTTCTCATCTCCATCGTCATGAACATCGTTGTCTCTTAACATATGAGAAAGTGGTGCATCTACAATAGCAGCAGACATGTCTGTCCTAAACAAATGAAAATTATTGTCCTTATCACCACTTTGTGTATTGTATATAACACTCTGCAAGTATGCCTCCACATCGTCCATCATATCATAAAAATCTCTCAGATTTATCTTGATAGCAACTTGCCAATCTTTGTGTTTGAGGTCTTCTACATACATTACATGTTCTGCTTGAGAAGCCAACACAAAAGGCTCAGCATCTTTCATTAATTATGAAAAGTTGACTAGTGTGCAATCTTTATCTTGTCTTTTTCCTAATTGTGACACCCATTCACCTTTAAATAACACAACCCTCTTCCCAAACAAATAATCTAACTCAATTATTTTTGTTAACACACCATAAAATGTAACATCTCCAGAGACAGGATTTCCATCTCTACCACTTGCAAAGCTTTGTATTTTTGCCGTGACAATAACCCCATTATTTTGAGTTTTTCTTTTTCGCTCGATCTCCTTAGTATGGAACCTAAAACCATTTATCAAGTATCGCTTATATTTTGTGAAAATTCTATTTGGACCACGAGCCAATCATCTAAGCTCTTCAATTATTTGACTATCCCCTGCATTATGCAATTCGTTAACTTATTTTCAGACAATTGACAACCTAACTTCTGTAAGTGTTGAATAAAATTGAAGTTAATATCAAGCCAAATTTTACGGAACTTCAAAACATTACTTACATGTTTATCAATCCATGTTGGAAATGTTTCACTATGAATGCAATCAATGGCTATTTCACAAAGACGTGGATTTTGTATAGCAATAAGTCTACAATGTTTTCTGTGTGCCATAAAAAAGATTTGTGAGTGTGTGGAAAAGTATGTAAAATAATAATAATAATAATAATTGATTACAGATGTGGAGTGTCTTACTCAATAAATTTGTTGAATGTCTCACAATTAAATAGCACATATCGATGTGCCTTTTCTTTTGTGTCATCATCCATTGTGTCTATCATGCCCTTACCATGGATGTAAGCACACCTGCGAGATTGCTCTTAGCCCAAAACGCTATCCTTGTTGTAACAATATGCACACCTCCTAGACTGCTCTTGTCCCTAAGGTTTAAGTTTTTTTTTAGTGAAAACTCTGTTTGATCATGCAAGTGAAAATGGGCATTTTTTTTAGGTAGCATTCTTATATAGAATTGAAATGAATGACTTATTTTGGAAGTACAATGGAGTCTATTTTATTCCATTTAGAGATTACCATTTTCCTATTGCTTAAAAACTCCTATTTAGAGGTTGTTCTTTAGGTTATGAGATTTCTTGAAAACACACAAGGAAAACACTTCTATAAGAGAAGATAGTCTACAATTGCATCAGACACTAGGAAATTTGACAAACACAAATACACATTTGACCCGACACACTTAACTAGATATACCACTTATACAACAAACACACTAGACACCTATCACTTAAGACCCATAATATTGCTCTTCCTGACACACACCTGAAGCAACCTTTTACTCACTTCTTGTGCTGTGTCTCAATGTTACCAACACAAGAGGATCCCAATGTCCTTTGGACATTTGGACTAGTACATAGCAGCAAAACCAAAAGCAACAAAGACCATGACTCCTCCTCTGCTTCACAGCAGCAAATTAGCAAAACACCAAACTAGCAAACACAACAAATCAATAGCAAATTTACTGCATCACAGTAGCAAAACAACTCACAACTGCAATTAGCTAAACAAAACATCAGCAAAACAAATCTCCTTTGCACACAACTCCATCTCAAACCATGACATCTCCTTTGTTTCACCCACACAGTCCAAGTAGAGCACTATAAGCAGTGCACCCAGACCCATCAGAGGTACTATAAGCAGCTTCTAACTTGTTGAATGTTGAAGACAAACTTCTCCACCTCATACCCTTGCCCAATAAAGTGTGCTTTCATCCGAAGGGCCACTCTTATTTTAATTAACTCATAGAGATCATAACTCTAAATATACTGTAAAATTATTAATCCCTGGAAGATCAATCTTAGTTCAGTGCTTAAATTAGAGTGGAATTAATGTTCACAAATTACTGAAGTATACATGTAATGAGTTAATTATTGGATATTTTTATAGTAAATCTAATAGTAAAAGTTATGTCTTTCCTTCGCATTGTATGCATTCTTGTATCATTGCTAATTGATTCACTAATATTCTTCAAATTATTCCTAATATTTTCGCAACTAGACAAAGCTATGTTGACTTATTGACTTGATCATGCCCCATGCCCTTTAACTAATTATCACCCTTCTCAATCATCAGCTGAATAAACCCAGATTTTTAAACTGCATGTTCTTTATTTCATTAATTAAAAGGAATAGTTAGAGATAAAGAAATCAATCAAACGTCATAAATAGATGTATAACAAATTTGTTACTGAGCCATTATGTACAACCTAACCCCTTGAATATGCTCTAAGCTATTCTATTAGTAACTACCTAATTTGATACACACCAAAAGGTTAGCCAACTTTTATTGTGAAAAGTAGGTGTGGTTGAGTAATAAACGCTCCTACCAACTATCTATATAAGCAAAATTTTAATGCACGATATAAAAGATTAGTACCAAACAATTACGTGCCCAAACCTTGCAAGTCCTCACAGCTCCCTGCTTTTTTTACAACTTTCTCTTCTTTTTTTTTCCCTTCCCCTATTGAGGAACCTCTTCAAAGGTAGGGCCATTAAAGGATTGCCCAGAATGTTCAAATTTGCAATTACCCTTGACAATTGCACTACCCATGCAAGTTAGAAAGCCCCCTCTCAACTCCATTACACTGTTAAAAGTGTCATAGTGGCGAACGGGCCAATGCACATTGGTTCCTTAGTTTTGAGACATTAGTATTAAATTGATAGATACAAAGTACAATAGTTACCCCCAAAAAAAGAAAAAAAAAACATTAAAAACATGGACTATGTAGCGAGTACATCAAAACCATAATTAAACAATGACTGAAAAATGTCTAGTATTATCCTTGAGCAGTGTTGATGTAACTAGCTTGTCTATGTGATCTAACCGAGTAATTTGTATTAAAAAAAAAATCATAGCAAAAAAATACAAAAACCCACTAAAGCATTTAAACAAACACCTGTAAAACATTATATAAAATCACAACATAAATGCAATAATAGTAAATTACAACTAACCTTTTATATTAAAAGATGAAAATTAATAAATTCATGAGTTAAAAGTTTAGATTTTCAGATTGTATCAAGTTTTATGCCTAAAACAATAATATCATAAATAAGTGACAAAAATAGAGGTATTGTGTGTCTTTGATGAGAGTGAGAAAGAGAGAAAGAATACCTAATGAACTCTAATCACAGAAGATGAAAACACAGCAAATTTGTGGTGTAGATGGTAAATAAGGATGCCATGAAAGATAAAGAATGATAAACCCTTGCTTCATGATTTGGTTCCCACCTCTTTGACCTGCGAAAATCAAATTTGCTATGCTAATTTCAGAATTGTTAGACTTCTGCCTCTGTCTCTATCTCGATCTGCTCTACCGATTTTGCTTCATCAAATTTGCTTTGTTTCCTTCAGTTTCGTTCTTTCCTTTGTTGTATAATATAAATGCAACCTGGTGGAGAATGAGTTTGTTAATATTTTAAATAAAAAAATAAATATTAATTTTGGTCCTTATATTTTTTATTAAATCAATTGTAACCTGTAATTTTTAATTTTGTATCAATTTAGTCTAATTAATAATACCGTTGGTATTTTTGATGAAAAATTATCACCGAATTTGTTGAGGTTAACTCAACAAGTTGAGTAAATTTATTATTTTACCTCTAAACAAATGACATATGTCACTTATATGCATATTTGTCATTAAAAATTGCTAACAATTAAGGCTAATTACAGTATTAGTCCCTCTATTTTGCCTATTATGTCAGTTTAGTCTTTGTAATTTCAATTAAATCGATTTTAACCTTGAATTTTTTTATTTTGTCTCAAATTGATCCAATTGATAGCATTTCTTTTTTAATACCAAATGCAACCTGTGATCGATTTATGAGTAAAACAAAATACTTGGTCAATTCAGTGACTTAACCTTAACCAATCTTTTTTTTTGATCAACTAACCTTAACCAATCTAATGAAAAATTTCTAATAAAGACCCTAAAGTTGTTATCAATTCGACTAAATTAACGTAAAATCTAAAATTAAGTATCAAAAGTGAGTCAATTAAAACTATATGGAAGAACAAAATGAAAAGATTATTGATGTGATTTACCCAACAATTATAAGCAATTGAGATAAATCCGTAAATTCAGAAACAAAATCGAGTTAATTGAAACTACAGGGACTAAAATTCAAGAAACTTTATCATTGTACAAGAGATCAATTTGAAATTTTATTTTTTCTGTTAAGTCATATAAAGCCATTGATCAGTTTTGTACATGTGGCAAATACAGTTAAAAAAAATGTTATATTGTGTTTAATTAATTAATTTTTATTTATTTTGTGCATTTTAAAAATTTTGAAAATATATTGGCATTTTTTATTTTTTCAAAAATGCCATTAGATAGCTTGGAAAGTTTTTGGCTTAGTGGCATTTCTCAAAATGCTATAAAATATTTGTTTATAACACTTTATACCTAATCCCATAAAAAGCAACTTCCACCTACCTAGTTTAGTGACATTTTTTAAAAAATGCCATTGTTACTAAAGTTTAGTGGTATCTGTTGATAAATGTCACTAAAACAATTTATTGTTTCATTCTTTTATAAAATGCCATAAAATTGAGGAGACATTTCTTTATTGAAATGCCACTAGAGCCTTATATGTTTATGGTTCTGTGGCATTTTTCTAAAATGTGTCATAAAATATTATTTTTGTGGCATTTTCTAAAAATATGCCATTAGTGTAGTGCCACTAAAGTGTGTTTTTGTTGTAGTGTCTACTTTCTATGATCCAAATAAACCGAAAGATATGATAAGTATGATACAATTAAAAACATAGAATGTAGTAACACAACAATAATGTTTTACTAAGTTATTAATTAACCTGAATATCTAGCTCCAAAGAGACGACTTCTCCCAACCACAAGGACTGAAAATGTATTATTCAAAACTTTCCATTTTGCTGATTTGCAGACCTTGTCACCGATGCCCACACAAGTTATATATCGGGTAGTGCTATTAGTGGTTCTCAAAAGAGACAGTCAAATACAGGGATATACACCTCGAATGTGCCAAAGTATTGTGGACCTGTTGGAAAATATGATTTTATGGTGATTTTAATGTGAAGTTAAAGTGGGTCCCAACTACCGGTTGAAGTGAGATTAAGTGGGTCTAGATTCTTTATAGCAAGATCTTTACATCACAAGAAGAATGACCAAAAACCATTAAGAACTGAATGAGAAATTATCTAATAAAGTTGGTCTCATGAATGAGGTATTGAGAATGGTATGTAACCACCTATCCCAAATTAATTGTAGAGGAAAGTATTTATAGGTATTTAAATCTCAAGTTTTTTATAAGGGCATGAGCCTTTTGAGACATCCAAATTTTCCAAAGGAATGAAGTTATGGATGCTGCAAGGATGGGTTTGCGCCAAGAATATAGTCCAAGTTGGTTAAGCAAAAAATGTTACATACATGCGCGTCACCCACCCATCTAGACCGGGTCCTAATCCGTGGATTGTGGGGCTTGGATCTTGGACTTGAGCTTGAAGCTTGAAGCTTGAGGCTTGAGGCTTGAGGCTTGCTAGAATGGATTAGGTTTAGGCTGGGCTAGGCTGGGTTGGTGGCCCACCAACCTAATCTTTTTGGGCTAGGTTAGATTGATGGTTGCTGATACAGATACACACATGTGTATATATAATGTGTGACCTCTACACTGAATGATGGGTTTTACTCCATCAGTTTTGTAGAAATGAATTCTGCATTTGTTGCTTACCTTCATAGCTGGGTGGCTCCTCTTTTTTTTTCCCCTTTGTGTATAAATAGAGACCATCCTCTTTGGTTTAAGTACATAAATTTTTGCTCTCAAGTTATATACTCAGTCTTCTTATATTATATTCTTCTTGTGTGAGAGAGTACTGCCATTGTCAATTCGTCGAAACTATACAAAAGGTGTTTTTAACTTAGCTGGTTCTGACCGTCGTATTTTGAGAGACAGACACCAGCATGTCTTTAGCACCCACGGTGAGGCGGCGAATCTGTTTTAAGGAGATTGTGATATCACGTAAGTTTCGGTTTGCTCCCTATTTCTTATTTCAGTTGAATATTTTATTTTAGTATATATTTGTTATATATTTTTGTTTATCAAATTGTAATCTCCAACATAAAGTAGTTCTATTATTTATTGTTCTATAATATTATGGAGATCTAGGTTTTACCCCGACCTTTATTGTGTTCCGGACTCAGGTTCCGTGGTTGTATGTTGTTGTCTATGTCTTGTTTCCTCCCTTTAATTCTTTGAATTTGAGTTTTGGGTCTTGTTAGGCGTGTTTGGAACAAGTTAGTTGTCTTTTGGTGCAAATGGTTGCTACCTAGGTTTTGGCTTCTTCGCTCGAGCGAGGGTTCTTGCACTCGAGCGAGGATTGAGAGTCCTCAGGTTTCTTTCTTAGACGCAGCTTTCGCTCGAGCGAGAACATTTGCTCTCGAGTAAGGCATGTGTTCTTTGTTTCTTCGCTCGAGCGAAAACTCTTGTGCTCAAGCGTGCGTCTGAGTTGGTGGCAGACCTGAAGCTTTGCATTGTGCGCTCGAGCAACGCTTCTTGCGCTCAAGCGAGGCCACTTGTTGTGTCTGGTCGCTCGAGCAACAACTCCTTCACTCGAGCGAGCCTCGCATATATCAATTCGTAGCAGTGTGATTTTATATTACTTTTTGACCTTTTCTTTACTTAAAACCCTAATCTGACTGTCTCTCTCTCTAAAACACCCTTTCTCTCTTCAAATACTCCATGATTTAGGGTCTTTCTACCCTACTCCCTTTGTTAAAAAGCTAGAGTTTGGCGTGGGCTTCCTTTTGATTCGAAAAAGTTCAAGTTTGGAGCATCTTCAAGTTTCTCCTTCTTCCTCTTTGAGCTTCTCCATTTGAGGTAGGGATGTTCTACTCTTTATTATGAGTTTTAATTTAGATGTGTGTCATTTTTGCATAAATGGTGGAGTTGGGAAGTTTCGGTGAAGTTAGGGTTTGGGATTGAATTTGTGAAAGAGGGGTTTTCTACTTTGGACTCCATATGTGTATGTGAGGCCTTGAAAATGGGGTTGGTTGTGTATAAAGGGTGAAAGTTAGCCTTGGGTGCAATATTTGGGAAAAAAGGGAAAAATGCCCTAATTTGAATTAAATAAACTATTTTATATAAATAATGAAATCAATGTGGAAATATGAAATTGGTTTGGGAATTATGAAATTGGGGGAATATGTGATTAAATGGTGTAGTTGGATTGATAAATCACTCACCTATGAAAAATTTGATAAATTATCTGTTGATAGATTTATTTATTTGTTTAGAAATATCTGTTTTAGGCTATCGGTGGAGGATAGCTGTGATTGTTGTAGAAAATACATGAGGATTAGGAAAAATTGAAACTAATCAATTGAATTATGTCGTTGAATATGACGGTTTGAGTAAACCATTGAATATGTGAATTGATGAGTCATTGTATATGATAACGTGTTTAAATACATTGTATATGTATCATTGTTTGGGAGGAGATAGGGGATGGACTCTATTGAGAATTAAGTTGGCCGGAGTGTTCAGGGTGAAAGTCCCGAAATCTTATTTATTTATGGGTGCTGGTTTCCTCAGACGTAGTTCCGTAAAATGGCAAGAAATAGAAGTGTTGGATTGATGAATGTATTAAATTATGAACCATTGAATTGTAGTCTCATATTGGTTGCTTTGATAATAATGAATTTGGTTGTTTGATTTATCCGAAATGGAAGAATGGAACTGAGTTTAGATGTTGGCTATTTATATTGAAGGACCCTGAAAAGAATATGTGTTGGTTAAGAATGTTGCACATTTAGCTAATGCTCATATTTTAGTTAATTCTCATATATTGTTTAGCGTATCTCTACTGGGTTTTGGCTCACCCTACTTGGGACACATTTTTCAGGTACCGGTAACATGCCGCCTACAAGGGTATAGCTTGGGAGGTCTAGGGGCTGAAGGCTCCATTTTGCTATTTTGTTTTGTGTTAAGTGTAAATTCGAGCTGAGGGCTTTATATGTAAAAGATTTAGGACTCTTCTTTTGTTGTAACCAAGTGATAACTTGGAATGATGTAAGCCCGTAGGGCATTTTAATTTGTTGATTATTAGTTAGAGCCACATGCCATCGTTTCAATATAAACATTTATGAAGATGTAATGCATGAAATACATTTTGTAAAGAAGACTCTGATGAACGAAAATATAAGATTTCTTTATGTCTTTTGATTTTGTGAATGGTTGATTTATATAATATTTTGAGGGCGTCACAAATATGAATTTAATTTAATAATACATTTTGTACAAGAATCTTAATACAAATTATATATGTTTCTCATGGAATTAAAAATATTCATATGCTACTTAGAATAAATTAATTATATTTGGTACTGCTATTATTGTTG